ACCAGCAAGCAGGGCTGGTTATGGCCTCGGTTCCCGTATCTGGAGATGGAAACGAGCTGAGTCACAGGCCGCTCTCACCCTCTCTTCGCCACTGCACTATTCTCACTAGCCCACTTCTGTTTCCACACTAATAAATACCAACTCTCTTCCCATTCCCAAGACTCCCCACCCCTGAGGTCACAAGTGTGGGGCCCTTCTGCTCCCCAGGAGTCCCACCTCATCTTGTAAGTCTTGGCCCCAGTGGCTAAGGCCAACAGCTGGTGTCCCAGGCAGATCCCAAAGACAGGTCGGGGATTAGGCTCAGATAAGACACGGCTCAGTGTGGACACAACATCGGGATAGGAGGCAGGGTCACCAGGGCCATTACTTAGGAAGAGACCCTCATACTCTGCAGTGGGCAGAAAAGATGATGTCAAAACCAGTATTTCAAATAGAAGAGACACACCTGCGGCTCTTCCCATAAAAGCCTAAGTCCTAATCTTTATCTTTTTCGCTGTAACTCATACTGACTTTTAACAACTGGACCAAGGGACAGATCTCCCACCCAAGCTATTCATCTGAGGTCCTGGACAGGCCCACACTACTCACCTTGGCTGTCTAATGCATGGTCCCAGGGTACCACAGTGACCTCGGCCCCACGCTGGCAGAGGCATCGGATCTGATTATACTTCAGGCCGCAGTCCAAAGCAAGGATCCGAGGGGTACCCCCTGCATTGAATACCCGTGGCGTCTGAGGAATAGAGGGCAACAGCTGGCAGCTGTGATCAGTGGGTATAAGATATGCCCACACCAACCCCTACCTTTGAGGCCGCCTCTGATTCTCTCTCGAGTGTTCACCCCAGTTGTGGGAAGAATATAACTACTGTGACACAGCTTGCAATACTCTCCCACTCTACCTCTGTACCTTAATGGAGACCTCTGGCAGCAGGGGGCGGGCATTGGGGTCCAAGAATGGCAGGGATGAAGGCTCTGTCTCATTCTGGACCAGCTTCCCTAGCAGAGACCCTTGCTCCCGCAACTTCTTAGTTAGCTCCCGAGTGTCCACTCCTGTCAAAAACAGCACAGCTTCAGAGATCACACTCCCCCAACTCGGTCATTCATGAGGTTACACTTCCAGAGAAGCACTTCCATTCCAGAGCCCTGAGTCACACACAGCTGTTTTAAGGGCATCAAAATGTAGGGCTATCCTGCCAGAAGCACACTACCATGAAGCATTCTTGCCAAAAATATCAAAACTGAATTGAACCACAACTCTAGATCTATCCATTTACAGAAAATAATACCAAGGGGAAAAAGAACATGCTAAATAACACCACAGGAATGGAATCAAAATGTAGACTATGGGATAATCCTAAGGAAAATGATCTGTTTTCATCAAATAGGTTCAAGGTCCAAAGATTACATTTAAGAGGCATATCAACCAAAATACAACCTATGAACCTTTGCTTACAGCCAGGTTCAAATAAAAAACCAAAAATTTACATAATTAGGAAAATTTAAAACATTGCCTGGATATTTAATGTTAAGGAATTAATTTTTAAAATGGATATTATTGTGGTCATATTTTTTAAAAAGATATCTCTTAGATATTGAACTACTTGTGAATGAAATGATATGACATCTGAGATTTGCTTCAAAATAATTTAGGGGTGGTAGTGGTGGTGATGAAATAAGATTAGCCCTGCGTTGATGATTATGGAAGCTGAGAGTTCATCATACTAGTCACTCAATTGTATATTGAAAATTTTCTATATGAGCAATAGCTAAGTTCTTTCCCCTAGCCCCAGACTCTAATCTAAACCTTCCAAACCTTCTATCACAACCTTAGACTTGGGTCCCAACAGACTATAGAAACCTTCTTGATTCTTCCCATCCAGGTATGTCGTGCTGTGCCCAGCCACGCCTGTGCTTGCCACCATACCTTGCAGGCCAGGTATGCCATGTTGCTGCAGCCACTCGTGCAGGGTGAGAGTGGCACTCCAGTGGCTGGGTGTGGGGCAGCACTCTCCCACCACCAGTCCTGCCACGTGGATCCCCGAGGACTCAAACCACTGCAGATGGAAAGAGATCGTGAGGAACTCAGGGCCGAACATCTCTTTACAGCATTTTTCCCCCATCGTGTGGCCTTGGACTCTGTATTCAGCTACAATGAATGACCTGTCATTCCTTCAACACACCAAGCATTTGGTACTTTTGCATAGATAGTTCCTTTTTCAACAATGCTGTCCTCCATATGAAACACTGAACACATGGGCCCAGGGTGCCTGGTTGATAACTGAAAATGACATCATCCAAACTGAGATCACAAATCCCCTTTTCTGTGAAGCCACCTCTGCTCACCCACTTCACTTAGAGCTCACCTAACACTTTATTTCCACTTCTTTATTGCTATTTACATTGTATTATGAAATATGTGTTTGCCACTCTGTCACAAAACTGTGAACTCCTCAAGAGCAAGGCACATGGTGTCAGCCAAGAGATATTCACTGAGTGACTACTAGGTGCAGACATTATAACAGATGCTGGGGAAAGAGCAGTGAACAAGAAAAGATGAGGTCCCCGCCTTCATGATGTTAATTTCTGATGTAGGAAGCTAGAAAATTCACAAGTAACAAATAAGATATCAATTAGGGAGTATGACATAAACTGAGTGATAAAATATGTAAGTATGTAATATATTACTAAATAAAAAAAATAAAGGTTTGGGGCACAATATTAGGCATGACTATATTCCCCCAAATTTCATTAGGGATTATCATTAAAAAAAGATAACATAAATTTGTTACTCAATAGATAAGCATATAATAACTGAACAAAAACAGGAAGTTTAGGTGGGAGGGAGTGGTATTAATATATTTAAACAACATTCAGCTCAGTGGTGAAAGGTTTAAGGAACATAACATGCATGTTGAGATTGTCCTTGAGGAATCTCAAGGATAGTTTGGTAGAATCCTCCCTGGCCAGGTGGCCTAATCCACTAATGCTCAAGTTCACGTACAGCACCTGTGCCACAACAGCAGCAGTGCTGAGTCATTGGCTCTAGGAGGCCTCACTCACTCTGGTCCCACCGGGGTCTCAATTTTACTTTTATAACTCAATTTTGTCAGTCTGCCTAGAGTTGACAACGCTGACGACTGACATATGTTAACAAGATTCACAAGATACTGCATTAGACACTAGTATGCAAGTGTATTTATAGGTTTATGATGAATTTAAAAATTCCTTTCCAGGAATAATAATAAACGTGTCTCTTATCCAGAGGTTCCCCTCCCCAGTGTTAGGGTGACTGGGAAGACAAATCAAGAACTAAAGGCTCAGTATATCTGCAATCCAGACAAAAGTAGTTTTGAGAAATAAGGCATCTAGGCTATAGTGACTTCCACTATTACCTGAATTACTATATGTTGATTTATTTTATTACTTGAACTCTCAGAGAGCAACTTAGTTCTCAAACTCCAGAGGCAAAGGAATAGGGGAAACTTCACTGCAAGGAGAAACTGAGTTTTCTTATCTAGAGGTAAGAACAGAACTGAAAAGTAGAAAATCAGACAAGGCAATCTAAGTAGATCTAGAAGATGATAATGCTATTGGTTTTGTAGGTAAACTGGTATTGTCACTAAGAAGTGTGTGACCCTACAGGTTTCCAGTCTCTTTCCTGCTAATTTACATAGTCCTAAAGCATTGCTCCCATCACATGACTCTTCTGCTAAAAAAACCTTCAATGGTTCCTAACCAAATTGAGCTCAGACTCAGGACTGGCTTCAAATCCATGTCCACCATAATTAACCTGTCTGTGGGCTTTTTTTATCATGACTTCTGCACTCCTAACAAATTGGACAACGTTCTTCCCTTATACTTCTTACCACTTTCCTTGATGCATGCCTTCACTACATACAAAATATTCTCAACTATGTCTAGAGCCTTGATATCCCTAACAAAGGGGATGCCTCTCTCCTCTGAGGCCTCCAACACTGTGCCTCTCAAGGTAATTAACAACCCCAACCTAACTAGTCATCTTAGTACTTATCACTGAAGTGGGTATCTTTGTCCTCTCCAGGATGCCCAGCAGGGTGTCAATGTCTCCCACTTCTCCGCAGTTTTTACTGATCTTAAGAGGAATGTAGAGAAAGCACTGGGTGTGGCTACCTTGCTGAGACCAAACTCATCCGCTTCATCTGGCGGGATGCCATAGTTGCCGATCAGAGGATACGTGAGCACTAAGATCTGTGCTTTGTAAGAGGGGTCAGTGAGGGCCTCGGGGTAGCCGACCATGCCGGTTTGAAAGACTGCAAGAGAGAGGCAGGACTGGATTCAGGCAGGGCACCCTTCGGAACACTGCCCTGCGCGATGAGCATGCCCCCGTGGAGGCTGCCTTGGTCGTGAGGGATGAAAGGGGCCAGGCCATGGGCACCGAACGGGGACGAAGGAGTGTGCAAGCGGGAAAATGGCGGGGTCTGGACGGAGAAGGCTGGGTGGAGAGGGGCATCAGAGAGTGGGATAAGGTCGGCAGCCTGCCCCGGCTTGCTTACCCACTTCCCCGGCAGTCGACACAGGGGCCCCAAATGGCTGGCCCCGCAGGACCGACCCGTCCTCCAACACTAGGGCCGCCATGGGAACGGAGCTCAGAGGCGGGGACGAATACGGAGAAGCGGGAAGCACTGCAAATTCCACTGGAACCACGTGAGGACGGCGCGCCGGAGTCGGTCCACGTGGCTAACTGCGCGGGGCGCTGGAGAGAAGGCAGGCGCGGCAGGCTAAGGAACCTCGGGCACACTCGGCGGCGGTGACTGCGGCGGCGCGGGAACCGGCGACGTGAGGGGCGGGGCCGCGCACGTAAGGGGCGGGGCCAGCGGGGCCGCGCGATGTGAGCCCGCGTGGTCTCTGCACCGCAAGACCAGGGGAATCCTGAAAACACCAGCCGCCCTGAAGTAGTCCCTCCCACCCCACGCAAGAAACAGAAAGGCAGGGTGCCTTTCCCTAAAAAGAAAAAACAAGACGAGAAAAAAAGTGTTTATTACAGGCAACAGCACAAATGGGAACTGGTACAAGTGCACTCCAGGGTAGTGCAATTTTCCATCTTCCTTCTAATGGCCTCACACTTGAGGACGATCTGCTGGCCCATGATGCCTGTCTAGGAAGCAAATCTCCCTGGAAGGGCTAAGATGGATCAGGATGGTCTTAGGTCAGTAGTAAGACCTATGTGGTTCATGAAATCTTGGCTTTTCGGCGCTGGGTCCCCCAAAGCAGAATGGAGATGGACAGTGTGGTGGATCCCAGAATCCCGAAGAACATAAGCAGTGAGAAGGAGCCCTGTTAACGACAGACCAAAAACATCCCATACACCATTACACAGCAGGCTATGTCCTAACACTTGCTAAGGTACCTACCTATCCCCTCATCCAGGGCAATTCTCCTATAGTTTTCCACCTCTAAGTATTTGTATCAGCTCCTTTAGCTGTTCTCTCAGAGAGGTTTTGCTCTATGCATTCCTCTTGTCCCTAATTAGAAGGCCTAATTCCTCACCTGGCGTGCACACTTGTAACCATGAAAGCCATCAGCACAAACACATTGCAAAAGACCTGGACCATCAGGTGCACAAGATCCATTCTCAGGACACATTTCTGAAAGCCAGAGAAAAACAGAGAATATTACTGGATCTCCTTAGGTATGTTTCTCAATTATCTGTTTCAATTTAGATTCTCTCAATCATTTCTAGGTGAAAGGTAGAGGAAAGAAGATTCCAGATAATAAAAACATTAACTATAACAATAATATATTTTAAGACCTTTTCTTTCCAAGGGGTTAGAATTCTAAATAAAAGGCACTTAAGCAACTTTGTCTTTCTGATTTAAAATGCAGAATACAAGGGAGGAAGGGCAGTTTCCAGATGGTTGGAGGTAAGACAACATACCTGGGTCTCCAGTGCTATTGCAAAGGTTCTTTTGTCCTTGGCAGATGTGATTGTCTATATGAGAGGTAGTAGTATTCCAGGCATTAATACCTCCAGGACAGGTGACATCTTGTGGCAGTATCCTGAAGACAACACAAGGAGTCATAGAATACAGCCCACAATTGCTAAGCTTGCAGCACTGCCCTCTTTGATTCTCTTCCCATCCCCTTACTCACAGAGTCTGGAGCTGGGTAAAGCCACGGAAGGTGTTGGCCAAGTCACCCTTGAGGGGATTTGCTTGCAGGTCTCTGCAAAACACACACTGTTAGCATCTGCTCAGGGAAGCACCCTTTTTATAGTCACACATCTTCCCAGACTGGTAATTTAATTCTCATCCTGAGTTGCCTAAATTTAGACATTAATATTCATCCGTCTTTTTAGGAGTCTACCTCCAAAGACTTTTCCATTAACCTTTTGCCAAATTTGTCTTTGGGGCAGGAGGGTACCTAACCACTTACATGATGACAGCAGTATGTGCCTGAGGAAAGTTTGGACCAGGGTCCTTCAGAGAACAGTTCTGGAGATCCAGCCTGAGGAAACAAAGTAATCAATATAATTATGTATCTCTCTTTTTCTTCATCCAAGGCAAGATTTGTATTTGACTACACAGCCCCCCTTTCAGCTAATAGTAATTGAACACAGTTGTGTTCAGAGCCACAAACTAGGTGCTATGGTAGACATTTTAATGCTGCATCATCCAATACAGTCACCACTAGCTACTTAAATTTAAATTAAGCTAAAAATTCAGTGCCTCATTAGCCACATTTCAAGTACAAATGGGATAACCACATTGTGGCTACTGTAATGGTTAGTACAAATATAGAACATTTCGGTCATCATAGAAAGTTCTATCAGCCAGTACTGTTCTATCAGTATACCTATGCATCTGTGCATATATTGGAAGAAATTTTTTTTTTTTTTTGAGCTCCTGTTACCCGGGCTAGAGTGCCGTGGCATCAGCCTAGCTCACAGCAACCTCAAACCCTTGGGCTCAAGCAATCCTACTGCCTCAGCTTCCCGAGTAGCTGGGACTACAGGTATGTGCCACCATGCCTGGATAATTTTTTTTTTCTGTATATGTTTTTAGTTGTCCAGCTAATTTCTTTCTATTTTTTTAGTAGAGACAGGGTCTCACTCTTGCTCAGGCCGGTCTTGAACTCCTGAGCCCAAATGATCCACCTGCCTCGGCCTCACAGAGTGCTAGGATTACAGCCTTGAGCCACCAAGCCCAGTCAGAAATTTGTGTTTCTTGTCTACATTAATGAATCTCATATTATGATTTTCAGATCCACAGAGGGCCTTTAAATAAAAAAAAAAAAAATACAAGGCACATAAATGAAAACTTTTTCCAAATGTATTTCCTGACACAGACTGGTCGTAAACTTCTGGACATTAAGGACTCTGTCACATTATTTTTTTCTTCAATATCTATTGCTGTCCATTCTTTTATTCTACACATATTTACCAAGTGCCTACAAACTGCAAAAATTGGGAGAATATAAAATACACATAGCAGTATCTTAGCCTTCAAGTGGCTTACAATGTAGTATGGGAACAAGACCATAACCAAAAATAAAAACAATGTAAACATTAAATTATAATGTGAAAGAAATAGGACAATATATAAATAAATCTGGTTGATACAGACACTAAGGATTAGAGAAGTTTAAAAAAAAAGGTATTACTCCGGGATTTAGTAGTAGAGAGCATACACAAAAGATATTGGAATTGAAGGATAGATATGTCCTAATTTGGTGGAGGAAGGCAATTTCAGGTATGGAGAGTGGCCTGAACAAAGACACAAAGGTGGAATGCCTTTGGAAGTAGGCAAGTCTGGCTGGAGCCAGACCCTAATAGAGGGTTTGAGTGGACAATTGGAAATAATGTTGGAAAATTGGGTTGGGACTAGTCTGTGGTGGTTCACAGCTTGAACCTTTTCCTGAGGGCAACAGACAGTTATCAAATATAGCATTAAAGCAAGAGGGTGATAATGGAAAAACATGGTCTTCGGAAAGTTTAATACAGAGAAATATTTAGGTAGACTAGGAAAAGAAGAGAATGGAAGCAAAATTATGAAATTTTGAGTTTGAAGTTAGGGTGTACTTAATAGGAAATGTTTAATAGGAAGCTAGAGATACCCACATATAACTAGAGCGTGGAGAGGCCAAAGGACACTAAAAGAGATCTAGTTTTGGGAGACACCTGCATAATAGTTACAGCTAAAGCCATAAGAATAGGTGTAATCTCAAAAGATGTAAAGGGAGAAAAGCAGCCAGGCCAAGGAATGGCCTGTATCCAGTATCCAAAGATGTCTTCTCCTCCCTCACCCCAAGATGGTGCCCTTCTGATTCAGGCAGCAACGGGCATGCAGCATTAGCTCTGATGTCTGCTTACAATAAAGGGCCACTTTTGACAAATTTTGCACACTCCCTGGACATTGGGTGCATATCTGCAGAAGAGAAAGAAACCTTATTAGAACTCCAGAAAGAAAAGCCAAGAAAAGAACAAACAAGGATCAAGAATTAACTGCCAGCACACCTCTCCAGAATTCCTCTAACACAGGGCAGAGAAATGGCTCGTGCCCTACCCTTATATCAGGCTAGGCTAGGAAATGCCACTTCTTCCCCAGAGCCGGATGCCGAATCAGCTCACCAGAGACTTAGTACCAGACCTTGCCCAGTGAAGGTCTTTATTTTTGAGGATCACTATTCGAACAATTATGCCGTCTCCAAAGATTTAATCTGACAGACCGTAAATCTGACAGACCGTTTGGCCGGGGGTAAAAGGACTGCAGGTACAGAAAGAACGCACCAAGTATTGCAAAAAGTACAGTCCTACCACCGCACATCATATATATGGTACTGGTGCGCGGAGAGCTTGCAGAAGAGCCATTAGACTCATCTGTAGAAAGAACAACTTAAAGTTATTCAAATATTAAGGAACAAGGAGATCAAGTTTCACAGGTCTTTTAACGTTGGCAGGGCTGGGGCATGGAAGGCCTGCGCAACGTGAGTGCTCTGAAACGGGACCCGGGGTATGGAGGTTTCAGGGACAAAGTCAAAGCTGCAAACCGGCTGCGGGGAGGGGAGAGTCGCGGGCGAGCGAGACACATGGCTGGCCGGCAACCGTGTTTCAGCCCGACCTCAAACTTGCCTCTGTACCTCGGGTAGCGCCAGAGCCCTTCCCGCGCCCAGAGCGAGGAGCAGGGCCGCAACCCCGGGCGCCAGGCTCGTAACATTGCCCTGCCAGCGAGGCGCCATTTTCCGTTCCCTACATCCTTCCCCGAGGCCCGCCTGAATTGCGTGCGCGGCCCCGCCCCCGGTGCGTCACGCCCTTTCCCGGCGTAGCCTCAGTGGCTGGGTCCAATCGCCTGGGCGGGCTGTGGGTTGCTCCGGCCCGGGGAGGTCAGCGCTTATCTCCATGCGCCCCAGCCCTAGTTCGGGGACACTGGCCGACCCCCTCTCCATTTCCTCCTTTAGTGAAGGCTTTTCCCGTCACCGCTCGGCTTTCCCGAGGCGACCGCAGGCTCTTTTAGCCCTGCGTTACCCGCGCGCGGACGCCGAGGTCGTGTCACCACAGAGGCTCGGGCCACTCCATCTGCCCTCAGTAAACATGGCGGCGCGGCGTGAGGCGGGCAGGGGGCGGGGCCTCGCTCTCTCCTGGCCCGGGCGCTGCGGCGCGGCTCTCGGGTTACCCACGTGTGGAGACCCGGCAGGTGGGCCGAGAAGGTGTGGTCAGGTGCTGAGAGGCTCCGGAGAGCTGCGTTGGGGCGGGGGCGGAGAGGAGGGAAGGGGCGGAGCGAGCTGGCTCCCAACGTGGGGACTGGGACGACCTGAAGTGCGAGTGCGAAGTGGCTGTCTCCGCTCGTGTGGAGGGAAGAGGGAAACCGGGAAGGAAACAGGGGTAAGAGTGATGGAGGAGCAGAAGGCGAAGGGCAAACCTCAAACCCCAGCGGGAGGACGCGAGCGTGGAACGCCCTGGGCACCAAGTCTCCTTCACCTCAGTCCTGACACCGCGCAGCGTCCCAGAGCCTGGCGAGGAGGTAGGGGCGGGATAGATGCTTCCCTAACTAATCTTTTGCCTTCCCAGAAAAAGGGAGCGATGCAGATCTCGGGAAGAACGAAGGGACCTTCCTAGCCCTGGCTGAACCACGGAGGTAAGGGAGGGCAGCGCTGCCCCAGGGTGGCGGGGGCCCTGACTGAAGGGCGCCAGAGAAGCCCCGCTCCGTGAGGGACGGAGTGTGGGCTTGGTTAGGACCAGCCAGAAGCTCATTAAAGCCGACTCAGGCTTTTCCCTTCTACATACCCCCAGGTATCTGCCTGAAATTTCCTGAAAGGATTTACATTCAGCTGGCTGGCAGATTTTCTAAGATGTTAGTAGCTATTAGCATTTTAATGAGGGCCCCCAAAGCCTTTTAGACCCAAGGACAGATTTTGAGGGAATCTTTTTGCGACAGTTGGTCCTGCAGTGACCCCTCTGCCTTTTGTAGGAGTCAAAGCAATCCAGTGCACTGGTGACCAAAGTGAGTTTTTTTACAAGGGGTCCCACAACTTGCTGTTTGTGCCCTAGTGTGTTACAGTTTCAGCGAAACAACTGAGCTCTTCCTTTTGGCTCCCACTCAGAGAGACGCAAGTCTGTAAGGTCTGGATGACTGCTCTGTTCTTAGAATTGTGCCGGATGAAGGGTTTGTTACTGGGTCAGGTTTTTCTTGTCTTGTCCAGCTCTCTCTCCAGCCACCCCGAAGGCTTCTCTGCACATTATGCAAATAGAATTTATCAGGAAGCCCCGTTAGTAGAGGGTCTCCATTTCTGTACATCTGTGTCCTATACTGGGCCCTTTCTTGTTTCTCCAACCACCTGCCTATACATACCACCAACTTGTTAGTGCTACATGTTATTTGCCTGCAGCAGACATCTCTCCTTTTACTCTCCAGCACTTCCCATCATCTTTAGCATAACAATAAAAACTTGCCAAGGACAAGTGAGAAAACTCAGGTTGTTGGAATGTACAGAGGCCCAGGGCATCTTTAGGTTAAACCAGAATGGCCTCATTCTAGGCTCTAACATTTGTGACTCTGTAGAACATGTGATCCAAGAGTTGCCAGCTCTGATTTCCTTGCTTTACTGGCCCCACAAGGTTCAGAGTTCAGGTTAAGTCTGCATGAGACTATATCTTGCCAACTAGGCGACATCTCCGCAAGAGCCTAGTGTGGGAGAGCCAGAAGACAGCCTGATCTTTCTCCTAGTGGGCAAGAACAGAAAACACAGTTTATATTAATCTGTCTCTTAATTAGTTGAAATCTAAACTATGTCCTGTGAGTGACTGAATACGTTTAACACTCTGTTCCTACCATGGTACTGGGAGTTGTGAGGACAGGGCCCCTGGTGAATCATCTGTCACAGCTGCAGACAGCACTGTTTCTCTCTTGTCTTGTGTCATACTGCACAACCTCAAGCAAGTTATTTAACCTCTCAGTGTTCTTGTGAGAACTAGAGATTATTCATGTTTTAACCTAAGCCATGATATCTTGAAAGTGTTAGTTGTCATTTATCATTACTAATGTTTATAAAGCACCTAACTAACACACTGCTGGCTTTCTGAGCAGGTGTTCAGCAAAGGTTAACTGTTACCATGTTAGGCCATCTAAATTCACGGCATTCTCTGGTGGTTTTTTCCCCCATACCAGTAAGGTATTTATGATATGCGTGGTGAGCAGGATAGATGGTGAAATCACTAGACCTAGGTTCTAATCTAGCCTGCGGCAATAGTTGGCTCTGTGCTTTTGGAAAGGTCTTTTGAACCTTCTGGGCCTTAGCGTGCTTGTCTGTGAAATGGGGGGAGGGAGGTGTTTGTAATAGTGATTTCTAAAACTTTCTTTAAGATTTGAAATACTGGCCGGGCACAGTGGCTCACGCCTGTAATCCTAGCACTCTGGGAGGCCAAGATGGGAGGATTGCTTGAGCTCAGGAGTTCGAGACCAACCTGAGCAAGAGCGAGACCCCGTCTCTACTAAAAATAGAGACAAATTGGCCAAAACAATGTAAAATAGAAAAAATTAGCCGGGCACGGTGGCACGTGCCTGTAGTCCCAGCTACCCGGGAGGCTGAGGCAGGAGGATCGCTTGAGCCCAGGAGTTTGAGGTTGCTGTGAGCTAGGCTGACGCCACGCATGGCACTCTATTCAAAGCAACAGAGTTGAGACTCTGTCTCCAAAAAAAAAAAAGATTTGAAATACTACCATCCTACCGTTGTTCCTCTGAGGATTGGGGATATATTCTTGGAAGATTAATATTTCTTGTGTAGGAGTTAGAAAATCAACTTACCTATCTTCTTTCAGTTCCTCTTTTCCAACTCCCTCCAGCAGAGTGCCAAGAGTGATTTAGGCTGAAAGCCTAATCCATTTAGGAATGCTGTTGAATATGAGCTCCCTGCTCCCTCTGAGTTGGGGGTGGGGGCCATAGGGTGATAGGGCCATTTTAGATCACAGGGGTTAGTTACCCTAAGGGGCCAAAACAAATGACTGCTGAGCTTCACCCCACCCCCATTCCTGATCTCATCTCAGCCACTTATAGAGCCAGATCCTCAGCCTCTGCCCAGTTCCCTGCAACTCTGCCTCTGAACAGGGATTGCTTCTCTAGGTAGGTGTCTTCCTCCAGCAGGATGGGACCACTCTCCCCAGCTTGTCTCTTGCCCCCCAGCTCCTTGGCTGGTTCGCTCCTCTCCAAAATAGCCCTGGAATCATAACTCTGAACCCCTGGCTCCAGCATGGTGCCCTCTCACCTTGCTGCTCTCACTTTTGAATCCCACTGCTCTTCCTGCATCTGCTATTTACTGCGGTGTGTCAGGTAGAGGGGCTGAGAGGTGGATGGCAGGGTTTCTCTAGGGGTGTTGGGGAGAACTTTAAGAAAGGGGCATCTCTAGGGTTGGCCCGGAGATGCCTAGAATGGAGTTTGGGGCTGCCACAGAGTCAGTCTCACTGGTGATCACCTAGGAGGGTGACACAGGATCATGGGAGGTAGAGGCTGAGGCCAGGGGTATAGGAGAAGCCCTGCTGTCATTAGTCTCTGTGTCTTCTTCCCTGCTGGGCTGTGGCGCCAGGCTGGGCTCTGCTGGCTTAGTAGATTGTAGTGACTGGATCTGTGCCTGCACATGCGAGCAGGTAATTATTTTGAGAAGAAACTTAAGCTAGAGTTGATTTTTCTTTTGCTACTCGACTGGAGACCTAAGAAGGTTCTTGAATTTCATAACTCTGCATACCCAAAGGTCTTAGTCAAATTATTGTCTCCAGACTGTTTCTCTCTACTGCTTGCCTTCTCACCTAACTCCCCTCCCAAACCCATAGCAGGGCTCCAGACTTTCCAGGCCTGCCACCACACTGGCTGGTCCAAGTCCCGTGGGTTTGGGATGTACAAGACCTGAGGGGGGTTGGCCACAAAGGCAGGCTAGGTCTGACTAGAAGCCGATTCCTTTGCAGCTCACCCTGGACAATGTCACTTGGGGGAGGAGGAGGACTGTGAGACCGTGGTTGGGAGCCAGATTGTAGCCACTTGCCCACCACTGCCCAGCTGACTGGCAGCCCAGAGCCCAGGAGCAGCAACTGGCTGCAGATCGCAGACACAGTGTAGGGGTAAGCACCTCAGCACCCCTCCGCCCAGCCTCGGATACAAGCGTGATCATGTCCACCTTCTCCCTCGTGGACTACGTGGTGTTCATCCTGCTGCTGGTTCTCTCCCTTGCCATCGGGCTTTACCATGCTTTTCGTGGCTGGGGCCGCCATACTGTTGGCCAGCTGCTGATGGCAGACCGCAAAATGGGCTGCCTTCCTGTGGCGCTGTCCTTGCTGGCCACCTTCCAGTCAGCCGTGGCCATCCTGGGTGTGCCGTCTGAGATCTACCGATTTGGGACCCAGTATTGGTTCCTGGGCTGCTCCTATTTCCTGGGGCTGCTGATTCCTGCACACATCTTCATCCCTATCTTCTACCGCCTGCATCTCACCAGTGCCTATGAGGTGAGCATGGGAGGAGCACATGGGGCCACCAGGGTCAGGGATGGAGAAGAGGAACAGGGCACATATGAAGGATCTGGGACCCTGGATCTCCTCCATCTAATGACAGTGACAGAAACTTACCTGTGTTGATAGTTCTTTCTGGGTGAGGTTGGGGTAGGGGGATGGGAGTGGGGGAAGAAGGAGAGTGCTGTGCTGAGTAGGGCTCAGAGTGGGTATACGTTGGATTCCCTGATATTCGCAAGCCTCTTGAGGGAAGTTGTACATGAATCGTGGAGGTGGAGTCAGGAGGAATACCTTTTTTCTGTATACCCAGTACCTGGAGCTCCGATTCAATAAAACTGTCCGGATTTGTGGCACCGTGACCTTCATCTTTCAGATG